TTCAGGGGTATCTGAGGCAGGCTTGAAACACAAGAGTCAGGGTGGCTTCTGGGTAATACCAGATGGCTAGGCCTCAGACTGACGAAGCCTCTTGGATGAGGGGCGAAACGTTTCTTTTTAACAAAAAAACGAAGTCCAGATGACATGATTCAACCTTTTTTGTTGTTATATACCTGGATGACTGAGAAAACAAACTTTGTGTTTTTGAAACCATTAGTGAAAAGGCCAGACTTCAGGGGTATCTGAGGCAGGCTTGAAACACAAGAGTCAGGGTGGCTTCTGGGTAATACCAGATGGCTAGGCCTCAGACTGACTAAGCCTCTTGGATGAGGGGCGAAACGTTTCTTTTTAACAAAAAAACGAAGTCCAGATGACATGATTCAACCTTTTTTGTTGTTAATATATTACAGTATTCTCTACTATCACCACTAACCTAGTTATTTTTTGTAAATGTTTTGCTAGAAACAGTTTAGAAAACAAACTCATAGAAATTATAATCGTTTCCTAGATGTGCCCATAGCATGTGCCACTTGAGTAAATTTAAATTGAGGTATCAATTTTGACTTTACCAAAGGTGGAGAAAGAGGATGTGGGGTCCAGGCCTTCCTGTGGCAGCAGCTCACTTTCTGGGGATGGACGCTCGTTGGGAACAAAAATATTTTCATGGTAATCAATTGTGAGGGGCAAGGAGAGTCTGGCCATCCAGGCGTGGTTGCTGACCTCAGAGAAAACATCATCTGCAGACAAAAAAGAACCACATCAGTTACTGTATATGAATTGCCTGACAGTATTTTTTTTTACTGCAAAGTGTACTGCAGGTCACAAACATGCCACATGTGATACTGTGTATTACACCTATGTTTTCCATGGGATGATCAGTGGAATATTTACCACATGTTGAGCAGACCAGGCACAACTTTTAATTGGCAGTCTGTGCCTTGGCTGCAAGCCATCAATTCCTGTGACCTGTACATTTCAGAAGCACTTATGGCAGAGTCCTAAGTTACTATGCAGAACCCTCAAGCGCCCAGTCCTCTAGTAGAGAACCCAAACTTGACAGGAACAATGCAGATGTACATATGGAAATTGCATATACTGAAGTTAGATCAAATGAGAAAACTTTCAGCATATACAGCTCATAGAGTGAGTTATCCTGATGCATGCTCAAAAATCCAGGTAGATAAATCTATCAAGGTTAGGCACGTCCTCTGGACAGATTCTTCTTTGCTGAAACATTTCGTCTTTCATCCACAAGACTTCTTCAGTCTGAGAAGCTGCAACAAACTGAGTCTTACAAGCAGGACCTTCTCAAAGTGGACCAACCAGTTTGCTGGTGAAAGACAAAACAAGTTGTTCACATGTAAAAGGAGGACCATCAGCTTAACGACTAATAGTTGGCTGCTTGGTACTCATAGAAGGCTGACCTCCAGGTGTGGCTTGTCGCTGTGGAATGGAATAACGAGACCTACACTGCAGGATAACGACAGGTGGGGAATTGCCCCATATGAAGGAGGCAGATATAATTTTGCACTGTAGGATGGAGGCAGTCAGGGTCACACAAAGGTGCATTCAGTTGGTGGCCAGGATCAGAAAATCAAACGAGATTAAATCTTTTCTAACACACCATTTAGAAAAACCCAGAAAATAAAAGTCCAAATTTTTGTGTAATTACTATTTCAGCCGCTTGGGGGCACCAGTGGAACATCAAATATAGAAATTATCAAAAAAGACACTTCCCATGAATTTTGACCTCAAATACTTCTACTAATACTATATTATGCCAATCTATATTGATATATCTATATGGATTATTTTTCTTTAATTGGAACAGGTTTGCTTGAATGAAACTAAATACTTTCTGTCATGTTCTACTTTTCGTGGTACTTCACAGAAGAAGGGCAGCTTGTTTCTAAAAGCCTGCAGCCAATCATGTTATTCTCTGTGTGACTACTGGATAGGAATATGGTGAAATGACAAAATTACTTTATCTGACTGATATTAATGAGCCCTCACTCTCATGTTTGGCATCATGTGTTCTGAGTGTTTGTTAATCATCGCATTCACAGAATGCTGCTCTGCATGCTACCTGTTGTCAGAAAGTTCAGAGTGAGTCAGAATGTGTTTTTCTTTCTTATTCTTTTTTTGTTCACAGAGTCCAGATTGTCTTACAACTCATTTAACAGAGTAGATTTTATAAATTAGGAAATGATCTAAAGTTTAAATTGCAGCCTAATTTTAAAATCAGTTTTCCTTTTGTTGCTGCATGCTGTTCATGACATTGTTTTCCTATTTGTGTTTTGGTGCAACAGCTTGAGTTCTTTGCAAACCTTTTAAGTTTTATCTGATCTTATTTAGTAGAAAATCATGAATGATTGTTTAACATGTAACTAAAATCTGTTCAGGTATTTGCATAAGTCTGTTTAGCAGTAAAGCGATAAATTGTCATTGAGTTCTACTACTGTGTGTCATATGACAAACACATTTGCAAAGATTATGATTATATAGTTTTCATTTTTCCAGATTATGTTGCCACAGATTAGACCGCTGCATGTTTTTTTTGTTTTTTTTCCATAATATTATATATAATAACAGTATTATACAGTATTATATAACTGCTGCCAGAGTCTTAACTGGACTTGGTAGGAGAAATCAGATCTCTTCACTGGTTCCCTGTCAAATTCAGAATTTAATTCAAAATCTTACTTCTAACCTGCAAAGCCCTCAACAACCTAACTCCATCTTATATTTGAGATTGTATTGTTCCATATTTTCCTAACAGAGGACTTCGTTCTCAAACTGAAGGCTTACTCGCAGTTCCTAGAGTTTTCCAAAGCAGAATGGGAGGAAGATCGTTCAGTTATCAGGCTCCTCTCTTGCGGCACTAACTTCCAGTTTCTGCCTGTAAGACTGGCACATTGTCCAGTTTTATAACTGAGCTTAAGACTTTCCTTTTTGATAAATCCTTTAGTTAGGGTTGGCTTTTTATGATGTTTTAGGCTTAGACTAATGGAGGAGAAATTGACCTCATTTCCTTGCTAAAATTGAATAGTTTTCATTTAATACTATTTTTATCTCACCTTGTGATTCTCGACCTGCCATTGTGTATCTGTTCCTCCTTCCTGTTTCTCTCAAACCTAGTCGGTAGAAGCAGATGACCACTTGTCCTGAGCTTGGTTCTGCTAAAGGTTTCTTCCTCATGAGGGAGTTTTTCCTTTTCACTGTCGCCTTTGTGCTTGCTCAAGATGAGAGTTCTGCGATGGAGTTAAACTCAAAGCAGTCATCTCCTCATAAATATTGTTAACTTACTTTTTATGTATATGAATGTTTCTGTTCAGTGCCCTGAGATGACTTCTGTTGTGACTTGTGAATTTAATTGAATCGCACTCTTTTCACTTATTACAGCATTACCACTTCCATTTCTAACAACATGCTGCACATCCTTTCTAGCCTGATCACTCAGTTTCACCGGATGATACAAGACTTTTCCCCCCCTAGTTAGTGTCCAGCCTCCCATACAACTTCATCATACACCTTCTGCTTTGCCTTAACTACCTCCCTCTTTGCTTTACATTGCATCTCCATATATCTCTGTCTAATTTCTTCAGTCTTCTCGCCATCCCATTTCTTCTTGGCTAGCTGATTCTTAACAAACAACTTCTTTTTTTGTATCCACCTACTTTCCTCTCTTTGTTTTGGCATATTTCACCCACAACTTTACTTTACTTGAAATACTAAATATGTAGCATTTCATGCTGTTTTCTTTTTTCAAAGATAAAAGTTTGTTTTACATTCATCATAAAAGCTAACCCTTATTAATCTTGAAATCATAAATGTGTTTTTAAAATAACCATAAGGCAGTGCACATATTTCCAGTTTTCTGCTCTGAATACACAACTTTGTCACATAATAAGAAATATATGTATGTATAAATATGACAGGCAAGAAGAAATTTGAACCTGATTATGTTATCAACACTTTTAAACTATAATATGTGAGTTTCTTTGATTTCAGAGCCGCTGGGCTAAAATGTGAGTCATTCATAATCCACACAACAAAAGAAATTCCCACTCACTCTTTTGTTTCACTCTTGTCGTCTAGTTATAAAATGAAACTTGGTTCTCCACCATTACACCCCCCCCCCCCCCCCCACCTGCCTGGAGGCTCTTACTACAACAATAGCACAATACCAGGAAGAAAATGTTTAACACGCATGGATCACACACTCAGAGGCTACACAAAGAAGCCTTGGCCTTCATACCATACACGAATTCCTGCCAAACAATATGACTTCAGAGTGGTTGGGGCTAAAACAGCTCTTTTTATCTTCAGGGAAAACAGCTGTTACATATCAGAATTATGTATTTAATAAAAATCTTCCTAAACTCAGTACAGTAAACAAATGTTCAGTCAGTTTTTATACACATAGCAAACAAAGAATTCTTAAATTGTGAGCTGATATTTTTCTTTTGCTACAGAAGTTTTTTTTTTTCTGATGATTTTGAGCATTTTATTTCCTTCAGCGCTAGAATGTGGACATTTATTGGCTTAATTTTATTTAAAAAATGCTCCATTTGAATGGAATTCATGGTTAACTTTAAATTATTGAACTTCTTGTGAGAAATATTTTCTTTGCTGCAAAAACTGTGAGTAGGTTTCTGCGTCTTGAAAACGTCAACTTTGTCATTGAGTGACAAAAAACAACTTGTTGACTAAGATTTTGTATTTTCTCATTTCCTCCACAGCAAATTTGAGAAATAATGAGATAAATTATGGAAATATGAAGCCTATAGAACTGCTTTGAGTGCAAAGTGGGAGATTGAGAGCCTCAAGTTCCTGATTACATCTCTTGTTTTGTTCATTGGACCATGGATGGTAAGTGGCTTTGAGACTAACAGAATCTCTCCCTTCCACATCTGAAACATACGTTGGGGTACTCGATTGGAGACTAAATCCAGTAGGACGGCGTCTTCTTAGTTCCCTGAACAGCCAGTATTAGCTGAACCGTCACCTGAGTGCCAGTGCAGCCTGAAGGTCTTCCATAGCTTTCTGCGCCATCTGCAAAAACTTCTGTCTGCAGTTCTCTGGTGCCGTTGTTTTCCGAGCCTTTGGGGCCTCCATCTGTTCTGTGCCAGAAGAGGTCATGATGCTTCTTCCTCACCTGTTTGGACGATTCCCAGGCTGTCCTCCAGAGCTGCCCTGCATGTCCCCGGGCCACCCTCAGAACCGTCTCACTGATCTGGACGGTGCATGGGCTGTCCCCAAGAACATTTTAATGTATTCAACAATCATTCTTCGTGTCCAGGAATAACCTTGTCAACTTTTTGTTTCATGGTTTAGATTCGTCCATCCTGTTTCCCTCAGCCCTCCCGAGTCTGTTTTTTTTTTTTAATCATTTGTTTGTTCTGGTCATCTGATGATGACCCTATGAGAGGAAGGCACTGACATGATCCATGTGTTTTATTATTTTTTTTTTTGTCTGTTTCTTTAGGTTTCTCTGATTTTTACATTCATTTCCTCTGTTCCTCCCAGTGTTTCTGTAATTTCCAGTGTTTTCTCTTGTGTGTTAATGTCTCTCTGTTTCTGCTCCTGCCCTGCCTACACTCACCTGTTCTCAGTTGTCTCCCTGTCAGACATATTCTCTGAGTTGCATGTGTCCTTACCTTTTTATTTATTTGTTTGACTTATTTGTCAGTTATGTAGGGACCTTAAAAAGTACGTTTTTTTTTTTGGGTTTTTTTGCCACTTGTAACCACTGTGTTTTTACTGTGCATGTGACATTAAATTTCTTGAATGTTGAATGTTCATCATGGCTTCCTTTAAATTCTGTGTTCCTCAGTTTACAGTGTCCGTACTTGTGATTTCATTTTTGCTTTCCTGAGTTTCTCAGTGTTTGTATTGTTTTGTAAATAGACTTGCTGCCATGTCATCAATTATTATTATTATTTTTATTAAATCAGTTTTTGTTATCTTCAAGCTCTGAGTACTGTCAGTAATCTTGTGTTCACAAACCTCGTGACTTCATGACAAGACCTCAGAGCTTGGTACAAATAATTGACTTGGTGGTCTGGCACACAGGTCAGGTTCTTTGTGTTAGGCCTGTTTAATGAGTCATTCAATCTCCCACGTCAACATACCGATGGTGCATGAAAAGAGAATACTCTCTGATGCCTTGGGGTCGTTGGGAGAGAGATTCTGGTTTGATATTTCTGGAACCAGGGCAGTAAGTCTGGCAAAGAATAGTCACTGGCGGGCTTTGGGGCATTGAGTCAATTTGCTGATTACAAGTATGCCAAGTTTTTGTGGTTGGTCAAGACAGTAAGCAGGAGACCCCATTCAACCCTGTTCAACTTCTCAGCATGTGTAAGTTGGTGAGAGAAGAAGGCACAAGGACGTAGCTTTTCATCTGACTCAGAACATTGGGGAAACACTACTGCTTCAACACCTGAGTCCGATACAGAGAGACCTGCCAATGCTGCTAACAAGACCACGCCGCTACCAAACCACACCGCTAACAGTACCATGGTGCCAACAGGACTATGTTGCTAATATAACTTCACTGTCATTAGAACTACTCTGCCAATAGGAACACGCTGCTGTAGATTTATTTCTTTTTCACTTTTGGCGTCTTGTTTCTGTATTTTTCTTGCATACTTTAAGTGAATCCCAGTTTTTGTTAGTTTTGGGGTTGGCTCCGAGCCCGATTTCGCTTGCATGGTGTAAATTAGAGCCGAACAGAACCTATGAGAATCATGCTGCTGTTGTTCAGTGTATTGTTTTGCACTATTAGTGACTAGCGTATATATTAAATATTTTATCATACTGCTGGGCGTTCATTTAGCATATATCTTAGTTTATATCTTAGATCCTTATTTACTATTTCTTTTTACGCTTTATATTTTTGCTATTGTTGGATGTAACTGGGACCCTGTGTATACAATTTTGTTCCATCTCATGTATCATGTAAGCGACTGACAAGAAAGAACCTTGAATCCTTGATACATCGTCAAGGAAAAATTATCTATAGTCTGGAGTAGGGATGTGCGATATGGCATACAATTCATATCACATAAAATTCATATCACGATACGTATTGTGAAGGTTGACGATAACAATATATAAGTATATCACAATATGTTTTTGGTATAAAATTTACAATATGAATAAAAAAAGCATAGGGTGGTCTTTTGCCATCATTTATTTTGAAAACTGCTAAACCACAAAATAATCTCAATCAAGAAAATTCCACTACTAGGTCCAGAGAGTTTTTAAATAATAAACAAATCAAGTATTAGGCTTCTTTCTTGTAGTGCAAAACAGTGCAATATATATCAAATGTCCAAAAAAGTTCAATCTGGTCCTCTGGACATTCAAAGCAGTTTTTTTTTTTTTTTTTGAATGTCCAGAGGACCAGATTGAACTTTTTTGGATTTTTCTACCTGGATTATTGAGCATGCATCAGGATATATCAAATGTATTTTAGCCATATGTTTTCAACAAAAGTATATGTTGTTAACTCTTAACAGTTTCCAATATTTTAACTTGAGAAATGAACAGCAACAGAGCAGCATTTTACACTGAAAACACTTAACCTGCCAACCCAGTGGACACATACACAGAGAGAACATGCAAACTCCACCCAGAAAAGCCTCCGGATGGGATTTGAACCAAGGACCTGCTCGCTGAGAGGCAGCAGCTCTACCAGTTGCGCCACCATGCTGCCCAAAGATAAAACCAAAAAATATATCGCTGTCTCATGAAACTCACATTTTTCTGCTTTCACAAACCACCCTCTCATGTTTCTGAAGGGGTTTTATTTTTGTGTGTACTCAGAGTAGATGAGTATGTCATCTAGACAAAGGAAAACAAAGACATCTAGAAAATCCCCGAGGACATAATTCACTAGAGCATGAAAAACTGCAGGAGCATTAGTTAAACCAAACAGCATGACCAAATATTCAAAATGCCCAAGGGGTGTTCTGAAAGGGGTTTTCCAATCGTCTCCCGCTCTAACCTTCACAAGATGGGATGCATTCCTTAAGCTGAGTTTGATAAAGATTTTGACTGAGTGTAGATGTTCATAAACTAAATCAATTAAATGAAGAGGATTATCCTTTTTAACAGTGATCTGGTTAAGTCTTTTGTATTTAATGCAAAGCCAAAGGGTCTACTCATTTTGAAATATTTGAAGAAAGACAACATTTTTTTTTTCATATTTTAAAGCATATCAATGAATGATGCATCCTAATCTTTTCTTCTGTACGAATGATAAAAATAAATGGTAAATAAATGGTAGAATGAATTATCTTTCCCTCTCTGAACATGAAGTACATTTATTGTAGCAAAGGTTTTGTCAGGAATTCTCTGAAACAACTCCTAAACATTTTTTTACACTATTTTGCATTTTAGTTTGACCTTTAATTCAAATATGGTTTAATATTTTGTTTTTTCATGACACTAAAATGGAACAGAATAAATGTTTGATTTTTATTTTTTTAATTGATTCATTCCAGACATATGAAAACCATCGCACAGGGCGTATCAACTTCAACACCAAAAGGAATCTGTGCATCCATACATACATATATATATATATATATATATATATATATATATATATATATATATATATATACCTACACACATGCATACACACACATTTGAACATACAGAACCCCTTGCAAAACAAACACACATCATGCATTTGCTTTGACTGAATGCACACAAAATAAATCTGTAAAACAAGTATAAACCCAAGGTGCACACACATATCCACGTACACATACCCATATACATGCACACACACACATATCCCATTTAACGTGTCTGAAAAGGGGTAGGAAGAAGTAAAGCTTATTTAATCCTACCCCTTCTCCAATACTCCATCGTTACACTTTAAATCCGTCCACTTTTCCGAGTCTTATGAGTCCATGAGAAGAAGAAAACAAAAACAAACAAAAATACATACATACACATATAAAATAATGCAGAAAGTAATCCAGCATTACTCCAGTGATAAATTCTAGAGTTGTAAACCCACATCCAAACATTCACCTCCAACTACACACTCATACACATTTACACACACAATGCACCCCAAGAGCACCCACACCCCACCTGTCCAAACATGCTGCACTCCGACACCAAAACCACCCAAGTCCAGTGACCCCACCTGCCCCCACCCAGCACCTCAAAATGCCAGTGCGAGAGCAATGTCGCCTGGGGCCACTGTCCCGCCACCAAGGAGCACCAAATGCGGACCACCAAGGGAACCCGAACCTAAACAACCACGGAAACCAGACTACAGAACAGAGGAACCAGGAAAAGTGAAGGACATCCAACCACCTCTCGAATACAACCTAACCTATCCACATACACACACCCACACAGAACACACAACCACACTCATATGTACAATCCTATTTACAACGTTAGAGACACCCGTTCAGGTTAAAGATCATCAGTCTTAACTTTTTCTTGTACAAACTCATAGTTGGACCATGCTTCAGTTCTTGGTTGAGTTTATTCCAAACCCTTACACCACTGACTGAAGTGAACATTCTTTTCATGGTTGTTCGAACACTCCTGGTTCTGAAGTTAAGGTTTCCCCTATAATCATAACCTGCATCTATATCAGCGAAGAGTTTCTGTATATTCAGAGTCAGAGGTTCTTTATTTGTCATTCGCCCTACATGTGGTACATGTGGTGGTAAATGGTAAATGGACTGTATTTATATATCGCCTTTCTATCTGATCAAGACACTCAAAGTGCTTTACAACACAAGCTGTGTCCTCATTTACCCATTCATACAGCACTCTACTAGATCTCTACAAAGCTAATTGAACAAATCCTTCTAAAGAGACTAATCAGTGCTTTATCACATGCATACACCGATGGGACACACATCGGAGGCAATGACAGGTACGGTGTCTTGCCTAGGGACACTTCAGCATGTGACTGCTGGTGGATTCGAACCCCCAACTCTTGCATTGGAGGAGGACTACTCTAACCACTCAGCCACAGCCACCCTGGTGGAACGAGATTGTGTAATATTATCTGGTTGTTTATTTTTAGCTTTATACATCAGCTGAGCTGTATGAAATTCTACCAGATCAGTCTGTATTGCTTTATTATTATTATGCTTTAATATTCAATAAATATCTAGCTTTACTAAGGTAAAATTTCAGTGCATGTTGATGTTGTTTGTTTATGAAGTTGTGGTAACATGAGAAGTCATCAGTTTGTGAAGTCTTAGCCTTTCTAGCAAGTAGAATTACTGCGTCGCTATCTGTCCTATTAGAAGGTTTTTACCAGAAGTGTTGAGGTCCTCCTCCAGTTGTGGTTCTATCGGCGACTCTCGTCCTGGTTCCCAGTCCACATCTCCAGCCTCACTTTCACCATGTCCACTGTCTTTAGTGCTCTGCCAGTCTGAACACTCTTGACCTCCATATCTGCACCAAAATATAGAACAGCTTTTATTCATGGGGTTTGAGTTTTGTGAATGAAAATATGAAATGTCATTTGTTTCATTTGTCTCTATGTGGCCCTGTAATGGACGTGTGTCATGTCCAATGTGTACCCTGCCTTTTGTACAGTGATTGTTGGAGATAGACAGCAGCATGATCCGTAAAAGAAGCAAGTAGAGAAAATGGATGGATGGATGGATGTTTTTTACTTTTTCACTTTACTCTCATATAATACGTATATTTAGCACTCAATGTATATGTAGTGACCTATCAGCTAAACAGAAAAGTGTATTTCATGTTACCTGGTAAAGTCTAAACCCTGCAACGTAAATATGTCAGGATCTGTGTATCTCAGCTACTTATTAGTAGTTCTGAGATTATTTTTAGATTTATGCCCTACATAGTTATTATGGTCTATCTTACCTGATCAGTTTATTTCACTAGTTAGTTTCCCTAAGTTCAGATCTCAATAAGTCTGTGTGGTTTCAGCTGATCACTCTTTTGTTTCTTTCCCGTGTTCCCCATACAAGTAGTTCCCAACCATGGTCCTTGAGGAACACCTGCATGCTTTTGTTGTTTCCCTGCTCCAACACACCTGATTCAGCAATGTAATTACTTCCTTATGTTCTGCAGAAGCCTGTTAATCACCCATTCATTCAAATCAGATGTGTCATAGCAGGAAAACAACTAAAACATGAAGGATAGTGTTCCTTGAGAACTAGGATTGGGAACTAATATCTTTAGTTAACTCATCACTGTTAATCAGCCTACCATTCTAAACTGTTTTGTCTGTATTTAGTTCAGGTGTCCCCAATATCTCATCAGTATACTGTATATAGTCAGTCTCTTTCCATCTCCACCTTAGCAGTATGTTACTGGTCTTGATGCCACAGTGCCAGTCAACTACATGCTCCCTGTGTTTAGTCTCTTTGTGCCCTTCAAGTTAATGTATGTTTGTGCTGCCGTGGCAGAGGTTTTTGTTTTTTTTTGTTATGATAAACTAAGTTAGTATTTTGGTTTCCTCATACGAGTCTGCATTCTGGGTTCCGACTTACTACCATTCACCTATTGCAAAGATACAAGGAAGGCAGCACAAGAAGCAGCAGCACATGAAGAAGGAGAAAGTAGGTGTAAAGGCTAAGCTGACTGCTAATCCAAATAAGACAGCTATCTTCGTACCACTCTCAAAAGCAAAATGGACAAATTGAAACTACAGATAGCTGCTCATACCCTGCATTATTGCATGTCACAATGAAAACAGTTAATTCTTCTTCACAAGTATACTTGCTAAGCAGTGCATCATGAAATATATATAACATCACTCCACTTTCTTACATAAGTTTATTACCAGTGGGTTTTTTTTTAATTACAACAATACAAATTTCATTTCTTCTTTTCCTGTTATATGTGTAGTGGTCAGCCCTGTTATTTCACGGTAAGAAAGTCTTCAGTTTGAGTCTGATGTATTTGTGTGTGAACTTTACGTGTTCTCCCTGTGTTTGTGTGAGTTTTCTCCCATTATTCTTACTTTTTCTCCCCCAGTCCATAAATATACATATTCATATGGATTGAAGACTCTCAATTGCCTCTAAGATTGAGTTGGAGCACGTGTGGTTTTGCATCTTGTGTGTTTACAGATGGTCCTGCAAAGAATTGGTGACCTCTTCAAGTGTCCCCTGCTTTCACCCAAAGCATGCTGGGATAAGCTACAGCAACCCCATCCCACAACCCCAATTAGTGAAAAGCAGCAGGCAATGGATGGATGAATGGACGGACATATACCCATCTATACGTACATATATTTGTATGAGTATTTTGTGAAAAACCATTAAAAAGTTGGAAACTAAAGTAACTACTGGTTCTAATAACTGACATTGTTCAATAACTGCATTATTCTACCATTTGACAACACAGCCAATTTACTGAATAACAAAACATGATGGAAACACATGGTACAAATAGGTCATAACACTGTGGTAATACTTTCTCTAAACGATGCAGATGGAAGAAATAATGGAAAAGATATCTGTTAAGTGTTGAGGATCTTCTCTACACATGAGTCATTATCACAGTCTTGGTGGGAAAGAATCACATTTTTGTGGGTTTAAATGCATGTGATGGATTCCAAGCATCTAATCGACTGTGACAAAAGTTAAGACCAAAGTCTTAAGCAGAGATCCTGTGCATTGAGTGGCATTCATTCGTTTTTGCTGGTTCTGCAGTTAATGGTGCGTATTACATTTTGAAATTCAGTTGTTATGGAAATAACACTGGAAGAATCCTGACCCATTAACCTCGTATGATTGGTTAGTAATCAGAGTAAGTGTTTGGGATGACTTTCAACCACTACCACACCCAATTTTAGCTCAATACATGTAAAAAGCATCTAAAATCATTTTGTCTTTGGAGAAAACGAGTTTTATAGAACAGCATTTCCTCTTAAAGTGTCATGTTAAGCTAAAATGTATAAAATCATCATCAGACGTACCTGCCATTGCGATTTGAATATTTGTTTCCACGGAAGTTTGTTCTTGGCTGTAGTTGACCCTGTCGGAGAAGAGAGAGGAGCTGGGAGATCTGCTGCAGATGAGAGGAAACAAAAAGAGGGAAACACAGAAAATAATTTAATAAAACAAGACTTTGACTTGAGGGAATTTTAGGATTTATTGGTATCTGACAGCAAACTAATCCAGTTTTATGTTAAATATTTATGTTTAATGTCAGCAACTTTATTGAGCAGGAAATAGGCAGAATATTGTTAGTTTTTTTCAGAGGGGGTGAGTTGCATTTCATAAAGCTTGCAAAATTAATTTAAAAATGTTCGCAAAAATTGATTTTATTCATATTTCTCCTCAAAAGAGACTTGTCGCAGGGACTCACATGAAGGGAAAAGACAATGCTGTTTTAACACTATTCTGGTTTCACTGCATGCAGCTTTTCTAATAAAAATGCAATAATTTACTTTAGGGTCCTTTCACACTATAACAACTGAGACACCATTTGCCATTAGCCAGTGTATGGACATTGTGTCCAATAAACTGGAATACGCTAAAGATGGAATAAAATAAATCAAGCTGAGGCCTTTTTTGGATGTACAGTATACACACCATATTGCTAACAAGTTCAACAAACTGTGTTTAACACATGAGTAACTTGTTCTTCACTTGTCCCTAGCATAAACATCATTTCTACAGGTGAATGACAGTGTTAATAACTTATGCAGAGCTTATTCGCAACTTTAGTGTAACTTATGCTGAACACATTCAAAGTGTGAAGAGCGTATTACGACCTTTTGTGTTATCAGATGTGAAAGGTGCAGTCTCCGTACTCTGCACTCCTAGTCAGTAATTTGGCATTGAAGCACATGCCTCAGAATAAATCAAACAAATCTGTGATCAAGAAAGCTGCAGCAGGATCCTTCATCGCTGTGGTGATAGTTGTGGACCTCTGCACCTCATGGATCCAGCAGGAGTGATGTGTGAAGAATCCATCCAAAGGACCTGACTCTACTTTGTTTGATAAGAATTATTTTTCTCTGGTTAATATTTTTTACAGATTTTATAATTTTTGTTTTGTTTGTTTGTATTTTATCTAGACCAGTGTGTGTTTCTCAGTGGTTTCAAACAATGAGAGGATTTTAGGTTTTTTGTGTGCTATATTTTGGGAACCAACCAAATGTATCCATCTTTCTGCTCACAACTTTCTGTTGACAGCTCTGTTATACAGCAGGGACACACCAGGGAGAAAACACACACATACACAAGTGAAGGAGTGTGTGCGTGTGGAGACTAATTTATGACTATTGTAGCCTTGATTGTTGTATGTTTTTGCACAGGCATGCTTCTGCAGCGACAGGAAATGGCCTCGACGTAAAAGCTTATTCTTCTTTGTTCCACTTCCTTCCAGGATGGACAGAAAAGTCTAGATGTGTGTGTTGAGGTGGATGTAAACAGCAAGTCTCTGTCCTCCCACACATCCAACAGGCCACTTCCTCTACATCCTTGATGGAGAAGAGAAACATCTGAGGTTCTATGAATGCCAACTGGGTCAGTTGTGGAGAACTTTGAGTCAGACACAAACAAACAAAAACAACCTGTTTGTACCTTTGATGGGATTCATGTATGCAAGTCTTGTTGCAGACTTTTGCATTTGTTTGCTGGACGTTAGCAATGACCTTTACTCCAGATGACCAAGATTTGTGCTTAAACAGCACAATTTTCAATAACTCACCACTGTCTCTGACTACAGAACATTTCTGATGGTACTTTGAATGAGTATGTCAGCATTTAATGGGGGATGCATTTCTGAGAGTTCAACTGGTACTGAA